TCTAATTATAATATTTTATTAACTAGTATTTCTTCAATGCCCTTAGATATTTTTAATTATTTAACAAGTAAATTTAATAAAAATAATATAGAGGAAAAAATTAATGAATTAAAAAATTCTATTGGCATGTTGAATCAAAATTGAAAAAAAATTAAAAAAATTAATATAAATTTTAATCATTTAGAAAAAATAACCATAACATTACAAAATCAACAAAAAACAATTATTGTATAGTTGGTTATTATAAATATATTATTATTATTAAAAATTTTAATTAGATTTTCATTAATGCATTGCTTGTTTTTTTTTTTTTTAGCTTCTAATAGACTGCAAATGGAAGCATTTATTAATCCAAATTTTGAAGAACGTAATACAATATAAATACTATACTAGAGCTAAACTAACACAATTTTGCAAAACACTCATCAATGAGTTTAGATTTGTACATGATCCTTGAATCCTTAATACCAAGACCATCGTGTCATTCACATGATTTAATTATTTACTAACTATCTTATTACAAGGGAGTAGGTTCATTAAGCTATTACTACATGATATTAACTAATTTAGACTTTCTAAATCTTAACTCTATAGATATGATCATAGGGAATGATAAAAGTTGCTTCTTTTCAAAACTAGGCATCAAAGACTATGCCTTGAAAAATCTTAGCCAGCCTATATTCAAACTGTCCCTTCCATACGAACCTGTGATTCTAAGAGGTAAAAAATTTTTATTTTTAAGAAAGAAAAAAGGGAAATAAAAAGGATAGTTGAAAAGTTTGTTCTGGTAAATAAAAATCTTTCTATGTCAACCTCAGTCCATTGGGATAAATCCTTTACTATCACTTGTAGCTGGACAAACCATTTAATTTCCACTATTCCATTGTTGACCAAAAACATTCAAGGTACTTACTTATAACAAGTCTTATACCTATAAGGAATTATTGCTTGATGCCTTCTCAGGATAATCAACAATGGAGAAAGCTTGTTACTGGATTGAAATGAGACTTCTTTTGATCCTGAAGAGAAAAGAAACCAGTCCAAGAGGGGAGGGGGGAGCTCCATGATACATCTTAACAAAATGGACATTTCGTCACCTTGCTCTTTTTATTGTGTCCAATGGCATCATTGGGTTTCTTGTTGTATGAGATGGAACACATGGGAGTTACGTGTCTTGTTTACATTTCTTGCTATGTATAGATCAACCAGTTCAAATTTTTAGCCAATTATCATTCAAGAGTTCCAGTGTAACCAAAAATTTAGTGTTAAACTGAGGTAAGCAAAATTTCTCAGAAAAATCAAAAAAAAGTATATATGCCTGAAAGGATAAGAGAGAGACTTGAGAAAGATGAGAGAAGGGTTTCAAAAGCCTATGCCGATCTTTTTTGGAATCTTGAATCTCTAGAAGAAGAGAAGAGGGTATTTTTTCTACAGGTTCTTTTTCCTAACAAAGTATTCTTGCCTTTGACTTTGTAGGTAAGTTTTTCTTGTATTTACTTACTGAAATACAGGAAGTTTATATCAAAGAGAGAAAAAAACAAGAGGTAGGAGGCTAAACCTCTAGATATTGATATTGTTAAAGAAAGTGTGTAGACTATATTACAAAGAAATATAAAATTTCTTTGGAACATCTGTTTTTTGTGTTGGCAAGAGGATCAGCCCATTGATGCATTGCTTGTATTATTTAAAGTTAATAATTATGATTAAATACTTAACAATTATTAAATTATGCAGGGTATATTATATATCGCACTTGCATAACTGATGATTTTTTATTTATTTGTCAATTTGCCAATCATTTTTTTTCCTATCAATTTCAATTTTACCTTGCTGTTGACACTTTGGTAATTGAATATTTTTTTATTTCCAACAAGCTATACCCCAATACCATATTTTTATTATTACTGCACAACAGTTGCTTGCACTTTATTTCTATTTGGTTTTTTAGCAATATTATTATTAGTATTTTTTAAAATTATATATCTTGTTTTTAACAAAATCAATTAAAAGCCCAGGCCCACAAAATATTTAATATTGAAACTAACTACCTTTATTTATATTCGACAGCTACACTTCAATACTTGAATTTTTCTGTTGTTACCAGTACTTTATTATAGTAAGTAATAATTATATAATGATTCAAGAAAATCAATTGTGTTATTACTTGGACATTAATACAGTCAACCCTTTCTAAAGTCACCTACCTCATTTGGACAAATAGATATTGGTGATTTTAGATAAAGGTGACTTTTGAAAAAATGGATTATGATTGGATAAATGCAACTGACATAAGTACATCAATTTTTTTTTCTTAGAATTAAATTTTAATATATTAGATACAATTTTATTTTCAAGTAATCATTATACATATAATATATAAATACTCTCATAATAGTAATATATTTATTTTTATTATTACCTGTAATGGTAATTAAGATTAATTATTAAAAAATGAACTAATATTCTATTGTTTCTTTTGTTGTACTACCTTTAATGTAGCTTTTTGTATTAGCTGTCTAAGTTTTTTTAAAAACTCTACATTAATTTCCACTTCGTCCTGCTGTCACACCACAAGAGAGCACCTTCAAGCATCTTTTTTCCTTGCATTGCAGTCATTGGCAATGGTGTTACCTTGTCTTCAGAATTATTTTCAGGTGGCAAAGGATTAGAGCAGTGCAAGACTTCTTCTACAATTTCCACATCATACATGGTTTCATAACTTGCAACAGCAGAATCCATTTCAAGAAACTGCTCTGTGGACATTCAAATCTCAGGATTAATATCATGCTGATTAATTAGATGTGTAATATCTGTATGAATGTTACTTTCAACATGGATATTTGGTGGCAATAATGGTAATTCTGCATCCATAATTCCTACATGCTTCCAGCAATTGTGGATCGTCTTCAGAGTAATTTGATTCCATGAGTCTGCAAGAAAGTAAATTGCATCTTTAATAAAAACCTTTGCCATTTCAACCTTGCCATCATATTGGTCAACCAGATGTGATAGATGGAAGTGATGATACCAGCTTTGCATGTGGCAATAATGCCAGCATCTAATGGTTATAAGTGAGATGTCATATTGGATGGAAAATATTTGACTGTCACATTGCTGAGATTATGGTCTTTACCATGACACAAGGCATTGTCAACTAAGAGAAGGATTTGTTTATTTCAATTTACCATTTGAGTATTTAAAGTCTTGAGCCATTTATTAAAGATTTCACTAGTCATCCAGGCTTTTGTATTCGATTGATATGTTACAGATAAGTTATTCATATTTAGGGATCTAAGTGCTATAGGCCAGGCAGCCTTACCAATGACAAGGGGTTTAATCTTATGTGAGCCTGTTGAATTATATGCAAAAAGGATGGTAATTTGTTCTTTGTTCTTTTTTTGTTCCAGAAGTTTGAGTAGTAGAAAGAGTATGGTTTGGAAGTAGACAATAAAATATACCAGTTTCATTGGCATTATACACATCATCTGAATCATATTGCGAGATAATATCTTGAAGTATTGAATGTGCCTCAGATAAGTTAGCTAATGGAGCACTATTGTATTCTCCATGAAGAATATAAGATCTGATTCTGTGCCTCTTTTTGAAGGCTTCGAGCCACCTCTTGCTTTAAAATCTTTTTCATTATCAAAGTTCATAGCAAATGTTAATGCTTTGTTTTGAAGTATCGCTCCACTAAGAATTAACCTATTTTCTATTGCAGCAGTTACCCAAAGACTAAGTGCTTTGATATTTTTCAGCACGTATTTTTACTTTTTGCCCATATCACCGAATGTGTTTTCCTTTAACCATTTTTCCTTGTTTGCTAAAATCTTGATTATTGTAGAATGGCTGTTTTCAATTTTGAAAATAGTAGCCAATTCTTTATGCTTAATATTAGGATGCTCATTATGGTACTGACAGATTTTTTTCTTCAATTCAATAATGATCGGGTATTTGATTTCTTTAGGTATTGTAATGGTGTAATGGCAATTCAGTCGCTAACTCTAGCAGAGATTTGTGTAAATAAATGAAAGAGTAATTTTAGGCGTATTTGTATTTGACAGAGTCTTTATTAATTTCTCACTTCTATGTTGCATCTCTCCCTTTATATTTTACATTCTTTTATACCTTACATTTGGCTATAGCAGCTTAGACATAATAATAATTAATAATACAGTGACATGGCTAAAGCTAAATTACATAATTCTTTTCACAATCCTTCCCATTCTTCTTTTATTACCTAATTATCACAGCTGACTTACCATTGTTACGTCAATCAGTCATGTGACTAATGTTGTGTTCTATTTCTTCCCCATATTTATCTTATGTGTACCATGCATTAAGATTTCACTAAAAAGTTCTTTGTTTCGTCTGTGGCTCATTACCAACTTATTTTCTTTTTCTGGTTCATCTCCTACTTTGATTTGGCCACTGATGACCTTGGGCACTATGGCTCTATCATCTGTAATTATCATTTTCTTACATGAATTTGGGCTGTCATGAGCAACCGATATCTTGTTACAGATTAATTCTTGATTTCTGATCATTGCCTCAATCCCTTGGACAGCTTCACCAACCTTTTTTACGTGGTCAACTTCTCTTTGCGGCTCGGGGCACATCTTCTCATCAAGGCTCTCTTCCACCTGTTGTTTGTCAATACATCTTCCAGTCAGTTTGTCCCCTTCTCTTGATGATGCTTCTTCCCTATGTCTCGCACTAACCTGTTGTCTTCTGGTTTGCTTGCCAACTCATTACTTCGTCATTTCTCTTGTCCAGCATTCTGGTACTTTCAGTCATCTGGACTTCATCATAAGTGAATTTTATGACATTGTCCCTTTGATCATATTTGGCTGCTTGGGCTTTATTTTCATTAGGGCATTCTTCCAGGATCTCACTTGGATGGCCAATCATCGTTTCTTTGAGATCTTTGTCCACCTCCTTTTGTTTGATGGTCATCTTGTCGTCAGTATGTTCTTCTATTGTCTTTCATACATTGTTACTGGTGGCATCATCGGTTCTTGTTGCACCTTCGTTAGGTCAGTCACTCTTTTCAAACTGCTGTGTAGGTGTTTGTAAATAAAAGGAAAGTAAAAATTAGAAATTCGAATAGTAAAAGGGTTTAATAATGAATGGTTTGTTTTTCATGATATAGGGGTCGAAAAAGTATCAAAAAAGTGTTCGCAAAAAAATATCAGGGGTGGGGGTAACTGGACGTCATCCTTGTACGAATCTCACAGTCACCACAAAAAATGTAATGGTGTAATGGTAAGTCAGTCACTAACTTTAGCAGAGATTCATATAACTGTTACTGGGTAAATGAATGAAAAGGTGATTTGAGGCATGTTTGTATTTGACAGAGTCTTTATCTATTTTCTCACTTCTATATTACATCTCTTCCTTTACATTTTACATTGTTTTATACTTTATATTTGGCTATGGCAGCTTAGAACTGTCCTTCCTTTATTACCTAATAATTACAGCCAACTTACCATTGTCACGTAAATTGGTCATGTGACTAACGTCATGTCCCATTTATCCTTGTTACAGCATATCAGGAAAAAAGAAAAGAACATAAGATTTTTATATGCTTTAATTTAAATTAAACTGGTATGTATTAAGTATTAAACTAAAGACATATGATAATAATAAAGAAAATGTGTATTTTATCTAATATTAAATGGCCCATGACATATGTATAATAATAAAGAAAAGGAGTACATGTATTTTACCTAATATTGCATAGCCCATGATATGCAAATGGCTTTAAAAATAAAATCTAAAATAATGGTATCAGCTCAATTCAAAAGCACAAGGTATAATTGAAAATAAACATAATTCTTTGTATATATGAGAAATAAATAAACATTTTTTTAATTTAAATAGAAATTAATGACAGGCAACAAAAATGCTAATTAGAATTTTTCGGCTCCTATTTTTAAATAATATAAAAACTTCCATCTGCCTTCGATATTTCTTCGAAAAACTTATTTTATGCATGATGAATTGAATAATATTTCTAAGCATTTCGTGATAAGTTTAGAGTACATGGATCATCAAATCATTACAAAATCAATAAAAATGCTATATACAATAAGAATTTATTTTTACAGATAAAATAAAAGTGATCTTAGACAAAGGATTTTAAGTAGGGTTAATTTAAAAATTGGTTTGAAAACTTTAGGTGACTGTGATTATAGATAAAGTTATATTAAATATGATTATAGACAGTGGATTTTAAATATACTTGATTTTGATTAAAAAATAAAGTGATTTTAAATCAATTGTGATTTTAGACAGTGTGACTTTAGACAGGATTGACTGTATTGATAATTAATTACATTGCTGAAACTGCCCAATTTTTATAAACATCACTACTTAATTGCTACTTAATAGTTACTTAATAGTCAAATA